ACATTGGGAAAACCTGAAGATAAAGACACACAATATAAATGTATTAAGTACACCTTTTCTGGCATACCAGATATACAAATATAAAGAGGGGAATATTTTGCACATGAGGAAAAAGATGCCAAGTTTTGCCATGTGAAAGGCATGCTCTCCCTCTGGAGGCAGGTCTCATTTCTCACCAGTTCCTCCTTTAAACCCACCATATCCATACTTTAAGCCCAGAATCTATATACTAATAGTCAAGACGCTCCCTGCGTGCGGATACTTATTTCCGCAAATTGGGGGCACATGGAGGCTCAACAGAAATTCCTGCAACTTGAGGCATTACTTAGGTGTGCAGAAAAATCTGACGTTTTAAAAAAATATACAGGGATACTTAAATCCCCAAAAAACTGAAACTGTGTTCTCGAGCATACATGGAAAATGGACTTGCTGTTTGAAACTGTGGTGGAGCTTGTTTCTGACAGCTGCGAGGGAGCCGGGGGAGCCTTGGTGGGCGGGCAGCTAGGATCCGAGCAGGGCTCACTGCAGTTGCTGGTGGCTGGGGAGCCTGGGTGGGTGATTGGTTTTCGGTGTGTGTGGTGTGGGGGGGGGGGGGGGGAGAGCCTGGGCAGGTGAGCGGCTGGGACCCGGGCAGGGCTTGCTGCCGTTGCTGCTGGACTCACCTGCAGCCTCCTCCTTCTCCTCAGTGAGGACCTCCTCCTGCTTTGCAGGCTGGGGGCTATGGGGCATACTCCCCCCCCACGAGTATCGCGGGTCCTGCTTCTTGTAATTTCTAATTTTAATGAAGCCAAAGTGTGCCTGACTGCACAGGCTCTCATTATTCCTTGCCCATACCCTAAGTCTATTTACTCTCTAATGAATTATGAACACCATGCTGTAAACAGTGGCTACATTGCAAATTACGGTCCCTACCATTTTGAAACAAGTGGCAGAAGAAAGCAAGAAGACTTTCATTCTTTCTCCCATATAGAACAGGAGAGCTATAAACAGTCAAGCATGGTTCCATTTTTATTTAAATTCCTCCAGATGGACGGAAGTTCAAGTTTCCTCTGCTCTGTAAAACTGAATTCATATCACTATTTCCTTTTCTTCCCCATATCCATTCAAAACCATGGAGACAAGGAAATTCTTGGAGATGCACTGCCATTTTTCTGATTTTTAGCAGCATTTTGCTGTCAGTGAAATATTTTCATATAAAACAACCTTTTTAAAGCTGCCTGTAGAGCAAGATCAGAGTTGGATCTGAAGTCTCCACTGTAATAGTAAGACATAGGGTGTGTCCTCATTTCTCACTCCAGTAATACAACAGAACAGGCAAGCAAAAAAAAAGTATGCTTCTTAAGTGCCTATCAGGTACGCCTCTGAGAAGGAGATACCGAAGAATGTGAAGAGCTGTATCAGGTGTGAAAGAACAGGATATAATCTAGGATCCAAAACCTCTGGCATTTCATTTGTCACTGGAGTTATTCAAGCACTCTATTAATAAATCAGTCCCTTGTCAATACTGAAAAGCTGCACCTGTCCATTGGGTAGCCTGCTAAGTTGCATTCAACATGAGCAAAGGGATACAGCTGGAAAGCAAACCAACCCCTAAGTGCCCAAGAGTACGCTAAAGGCTTTTTAGATCATGACCAAGGTCAGCCAATTCCAGCCTTCAATAGATCAATAAAGCTGAACCACAAGCACAAAACTATGATTTCCAGCATTTTACAACAACCATTACTGCTCAAGACATTGCTGCCTCTATTGCCAGTTTTTGGGTGCTGCTGTAAGAGCAACAACACAGAGGAAAAGTGCAAGATTTTGGACGCTGAAGAGCAGTTAAAACCATGAATGCTACCATGCTTAAATATTTATCACAGTTCCTACAAACTTCAGAAGGAATTAAAACATACTTACCCACTACGCCAACCTGTATAACTTTCTCTTTCATCACACTATACTCTTGAAGAAGTTTTAACAGACAGTCACCCCCAAAGCACAGGCTGGCCCTTGACAGATCAATATATGCAGCGCCTTTTTTAGTGACCCACTTCCCCTGGTGTAAAATTAGATTAAGAATATAAAGTCACCACCAAGGAATATAAAGTGCACTACCCTATCGTGTTTAGGGAGAAAAAAAGGGGGAACTCCAGTGACATGTCGAGCTACGCTATAAAACACTCATAATATCTCAGTGGGTGGAAGACAACCAACCACAATGCTTCTGAAACAAGTGGTAGGAGAGGATGGTGTCAGAGCTGAGCTGTGGTTATTTAAAGAAACAAAGAAGACAGCAGAATGATTCTCCATCATTAGTTATGCCATGGGATCTTTGGTCAAACCAATTTAGAACCCAACGGAGAAGATCAAGTTTTCGGTAGCAATTCTGCTTATTTACAGAGATATGTGTGTAGTACCTTCTGAAATAACAAACAACACTAAAAACAGACCAATTCCTGGCCCTTCCTCTCTGAAAATGTCACAAAAGGCAAAGCAACATTTACTGTTCACTTGCACTTTAAAAACTTCAGAGGCAAATTATATCCAACCAAAGAAGTTTAAAATATCAGAATATTCTAAACACAGATAGATTTCACTGAAGTTTCTTCTTAGATTGCCTCAGCTTGTAATGAAATGCTCTCGAATCCCTTCTGGGGATACAGAAATGTTGAAAGGTAACTTGGCACTGGTCTCAAGATCTTCCTCCATTTCTCTAATTTCAGCACAAGCCTTTTGATGCCTTTGTCTCTTTGTGCTGCTCCCATGGGAACAGGACAGATGCTACAATTTCACCAGCACAGGAGAAACAGTGGAAGTAATCAACAGCTAGACTGTGTAAGAGACAGACCATCAGGACTCCTCCTGGTTAACACTATTATCTTAATCACTTGCCTCTTAAGCTTCCCTCCTCAATTAACAGAGACGTGGATGATATTTGGTGCTGGACTAATAATAATGTGCAATACAGGCAAATCAGATGGGAAAAACAAGCTTGCAAGTTATGATCTTCACCCTCTTTTCAAGAATTATTTGTTTTCATAATGTTCATTCAATCAGTCACCACCTCTTTCAGAAGTGTAAAGGAGAGGGGTGGGTTGTTCTTACCATTGTTCTGTCTTTTCTCTGCATTGCAGATTTAAACGCAACGGTTGGAAGTTCCTGATTTAAATAATGCAACCATTTCTCTAAGTTTTCCTTTGGTATTAGATCTGAAAAAATGAACAGAAACATAGTGGTACAAAAATAGGGCTACACAGTGTGTTCTTACTCCAACAAAAAGTGGCTTCAAAAATAAATCCAGTGGTAAGAGATTTCTTTCACAGTATTCAGATGATTATGAACAAATTAATGGCTTGTGACAAGAACAAGGAAGTCCACCACCCCCACACCAGACCTCTTGGTTTGTAATGAAATAGTTGGTCAAGATATCCAAATTGGGTGGTTTTAATGACTTGCAGCCTGTTTCTTGCTTACCAACTAGGACTAAACCATGATCTGCAATTCTGATTTGTAAACAAGAGCAAGCTCCAATGTCCATTTCATCCAAATGAGACATCACAACAAACCTTGTTTACTCTATGAGCAAAGCAGAAGGGGAGGAGAGGGAGCACATGACCCTGTAGACTTCTGAAGACCACATCTGGACTTTTCAAAGCAGACACAGCTTTTTGGTAGTTTACTTTGCTCTTTTTTTTAAATTCACCAGGAACAAGGAGATAAATATTGGAAAAGGTAACCCCCTCCCCCACTGGCCCAGCTTGGCCCTATGACTTCACAAGCAGCTTGGTTTCTGGAATTGCACAGGTGAAGATTTTCAGTGTGTGGAAATACCACAGTTATCTGATGTCTCCACATCCAGCTATGTTAAAGGGACAGGAGTGGTTAAAAACTTGGCAACCTTATGCTTGCAAAAATAGTGAGCTCAGAGTTGGATCTGACAGTCTTCAGAGATATGTCAGTACGTTTTTGTATCTTCCTCATTGCTCACATCCCAACAGAAAATCATTTATTGGATTAACTAAACTAAACCAAGCGAAGACGGAGGTCCTGTACCTGAGTCGGGGCAATTTCGGGATGGGGATCCCTCTCCCGACCTTCGACGGGGCACCATTGGTGCCAGCGCTGGTGGTGAGGAATTTGGGAGTGCTCCTTGATCCCTCCTTAACTATGGAGGCCCAGGTGGCAGCCACTGCTAAGTCGGCCTTTTACCGTCTCTGAATGATTTGGCAGTTGGTTCCCTTCCTCGACCACGATGACCTGGCTACAGTGACCCACGCGATGGTCACCTCGAGACTAGACTACTATAACGCTCTCTACATGGAGCTGCCCTTGTCGCAAATCCGGAGGCTGAAGCTGATGCAGAATGCAGCGGCCAGGCTTCTGATGGGTCTCCCTAGATGGGAGCACATCCGGCCTGTGCTGAAAACACTGCACTGGCTGTCAATAGCATACCGAATTCACTTCAAGGTGCTGGTACTTCCCTTTAAAGCCCTATATGGCCAGGGTCCGACATACCTGAGGGACCGCCTTTCCCCACATATACCCCAGAGAGCACTACGGTCTGGGGCACAATATCGGCTTGTAATTCCAGGCCCCAAGGAGGCCAGGCTCACCACTACCAGGGCCAGGGCCTTTTCAGTGGCGGCTTTTACCTGGTGGAATGAGCTCCCGGAGGAGATCAGGGCTCTGCGGGACCTTGTACAGTTCTGCAGGGCCTGCAAGATGGAGCTCTTCCGCCAGGCTTTTAATTAGGAGCCGCCCACCACTACCACCAACTATTTGTTAGTAACACCGGGGTAGCTGGTTGGCCCTATATGGAGATCGAGCCACAGTATAGTACGAGACAGATACGGCTGAACCGGGACCCGTGATCCATCTACAGTATAGCATCTTTTAACTTGACCGGGAGACTGACATCATTCTGAGCACTTTAATTGTAATATATGATTGTTTTATCTTGTTTTTATATATCATGGCACATAGTGTCCTTAAGTGTAAGCTGCCCTGAGCCCGTCCGCGGGGAGGGCGGGATAGAAATCCAATAAAATAAATAAAGTGGTCTACTGCCCAGTTAAGCTTTAGAGCTTCAATATAAACTAATCCAGTTCTATTTTATTTATTTATTTACTGTATCCTTTCTTTTGCCCCAAGGGGACCCAAAGTGGCTGACATCATTCTCCTCTCCTCCATTTCATCCTCACAACAACCCTGTGAGGTAGGTTAGGCTGAGAGAGTGTGACTGGCCCACTAATGTCAAAAGAAAAAGATCCCAAACTCAAACACATGTACCCAGAACTAAGTCCCACTGGTTGCAGTGGAATTTATTTCTAAGCAAGAGTTACACCTGCAGTTTAAAACCCTATTAATGCTTATTTGGAAGTAAGCAGCACTGAACACAGTGGAGATTACCTCCAAGTAAAAATGGACTGTATGTGACCACATGTCAGGTTTTTTTTGGGCTATGAGATTATGAAGAAGCCTCCAAGCATTTTACTTAACTGGGCTGGGAACAGAGTCATTAGATATGCTCCAATATAGTTCACTTACCAATTTTGTTTAAAACCAACAGCAATGGTTTGCCTCCATCTGACTGAATGATAAATTGTTCTACCTGTGGGCACCGACAGCCTAGAGGATCTCGTGCATCTAAAACTTCCAGCAGTACATCAGAAGCCTCAATCACCTAAAGAGAAACAGGGTAAAGATGCATATTCCCAGCTTGAAAGTTAAAACTTCCAAAAAGGAAAAAAACAATCAGACTATTAAACCAATAAGCCTGCACCACAATTTTGAAGACATATACACGTTAAGCAGTAACTGTTTATCTAAGAAATATTTGTTAAAAGAACATCATCTCCAGTGCAGCTGAATCTAATACTGCTTTGGAAAGGACCACTTTAATTGTCTTCAGCATCACAAGACACAGTTCTTTGCTACAGTGCAGAATATACATAAAACAAATGTCAACACATTTTCAACATAAACTGTATCTACTAAAATAGCAGAATCCTGCCACGAACAACCAGCAGTAAGTACAAAAAGAAGAGAAGTATGGAACAGAGTAAATGCAAATTCCATCCAGTGCTTCCAGTAATAAAGTGTGCCAAAAATCTCAGCACTGAAGAATTAAAAATGAGTATCTCATTAGCTTCTTTCAGCCTCCTCATATATTCTAGTAGCAAAGTCAGCCAAATCCGAGGATATTTAAATCGGGCGACTGGAGCTGTGAAGGACAGGACAGATCTTCCTACAAGCCACAAAAAAACCCCGAGGTTTGCAGAAAAATCTGAAGCCTTTAAAAAGAACACCAAACAATACAAGGAATACCTGTAGCTTTAAAAAATGGAAGCCTCAATGGAAGTTGCTAGGCAACCACAGCATTCTAAGCTTCTGTCAGAAAAAGGCAAGGGGAGGGGGCAGGGCCCTTTCCAGGGCTGTTTTGGCCTTTGGAGGAGGACTCATTGGGCCAGGCTGGGCAGCAACCACTGGATGACTTGATACCACCCAACTTAATGACTCTTCTAGGCCTGGAAGCTTGCTACTGTTCAACAGCAGCCATCCTATTAAAGCCAGTGTGGTATAGTGGTTAGAGTTGCAGAATAGAGTCTGGGAGACTTGGGTTCAAAACACCAGTCTGCCATGGAAGCTCCCTAGGTGATGTTGTGGCCGTTGCGTACTTTCAGCCTAAGCTACCTCACAGGGTTGTTGTGAGGATAGAAGAGGAGAATAATGTAAACTGCTTTGGTCCCCACTGTGGAGGAAGGTGGGATATAAATGAAATAAATAAAGAAAAATATAACTGAAGATGGGAGGCAGAGAGGATATGGGGGTTGCCAGGAGGAGAGAAAAGGGAAATAATGTGAGGAGGAATACAGGGGAAAGTGATGCATCGTCCCACCCCACAAGTACTTGGAGGTTCCTTAACGTGCAAGTGGGTCTGGCCCAGCAGCCAGCAACACACAACTGGGGCATAGTTTTCTCAGGTAGAGGTTACGGGGGGGGGGGTTGCTGAAGACAGAGGGGACAGATAAAGGCAGGTTGGCTGTTGGGTGGGAAGGACAGAACGAAGCAGGTAAATGGGAGATGCTATGAGGGCATTCAGAGAAGGGAAAGATGAAATAGTGGAGGAGGGGGAAATGAGATGGCCCCCACAAGTCCTTGGGGTTGCTACTTGTGGTTTTATAACCACATGGAACGACTTTAGATGTTTCTGGTTCTCAGTAAGGGACCCAACTAAAATAGGATTAACAGTTTTATATAAGAATGAAATGAAATGTAGTTGCATACACATGGTTAATTTATAATTAAAAATACAGCACATCAGCATCATACTTTGGTAAAAGGGAACATAAACATGAATATTAGGTTAAATAAGGAAAACGAAAATGTTTCAATGCGAATGCCAAAAACAGAAGAAACCTTACCCTTTTAAGTTCCTTGCAGAAAAATTTCTTTGAACTTTTATCTATTTGCTGCTCTGGGTTTGCTTTGGGCTTTGAGGTTGATTCCTACAGTAAAATATTTGGGAATAAAGAGAAATCACAATAGTATCACGTGTAACACAGATATTGATAAAGTAAGACTGAAAACGTGTTAGCGTCACCTGCATTGTATCTGGCAGATCCCCCCCCAACAAACATAACTACAGTTTGAAATGAAAAATATAAACAATTTAATTTTTAACATGAATCACCAGTTCAAACTTAAACAGTATTACCTGTAATTCAAAGAACTCTTCATGTTCAACTCTCTCAAAATACTAGAACTCAAGGGCAGCCAATGAAACTAATGGGCAGTAGGTTCAGGACAGACAAAAGGCAATACTACTTGACACAGATGGTGATTAAAAAGATTCATGGAGGATAAGTCTATCAATGGCTACTAGCCATAGTGACTATGGGGAACCTCCACATTCAGAGGCACTAAGCCTCTGAATCCCAGAGCCAGGAGGCAATATAACGGATAGGCCTCTTATGTTTCAATTGAGTCTTATATTGGGTCACAGTAACATTCTCTATACACCAACTTCACTGTCAAAGCAAGTTCTGGCTGTGCATGCAACACCTTTACCAGCACATAAATGACCTTTTTAGATGGTCGCCAACACAAAATATTAATCAAAACAAAATATGAAGTTCAAGCACTAAAACTTCGGACAGACCAATCCAATTGTCTTTGGGAACCCAAATCCATTGGATCAGCCTTTCACCTGGTGCAGGCAAATAAAACATAGGACAAATAAAACTTAGTCTGCTGACTACTTATGTTGGTACAAATGCACATTGCAGGAATCAGGATCACACAAACAGGCAGTTCCCTCATGCTCACATCCTTTTGCTTGCTTCTCTTCCAACTATTTAATCATGTGGTGCAAAAAGAGCAGGAAGGTGTGGGCAGCTTTGCCAGCTGATCACTGTAAGGCAAAATGGTCCACAGCCTACCCACCAATGGGAAAAACAGTGGTTAGCTAGGAAACGAAGGTGCTGAGCCAGCATGAAGGCAGGCAGGCAGGCAGACTTGTAGTTTATAGATGCCATTTCCCAGAGGTAATAAATAGGTTTTGCAAACTAACAGAACGTTTTCCTTTTGTGTTCCTCTTGAGCTAAACTTTAAAATGTTTTCCCAAGAACATATACCTTTTCACATTGCTTTTCTTTACTGGCATCCTTATTACCGTCTTGCTTGCGTTTCTTTTCCAGCACTTTCTGCCGTTCAAGTTTCTGCTGTTTTTTCAGTTCTTCAAGCTGTTCACATACACAAAAGTGACACAAAATTAGAAGGAGAAATGGTCTCCTTCCTTATTCAGAAAGACTAGTACATTCAATTTGGATTGGGGAGACCCTGGAAATCCCCACTCAGGCCATAAACCTCTCTGGAAAACCTTGGGTTATCCACTCCGTCTCTCATCCTACTAACCCAGTGGTTCTTAACCTTTGATCCACTACCCCCCAACCAAGTATGTACCAGTACTGTCAAATGCTCCAGAAGCCACAAATTTTACAGGTCTCAGTCAATGAAGCCCTAGTTCCTGATAGCTATCAGCTGACTCTTTATGTTAAGTTGTATTCCTGTTTGCTTCATGCAACTTTTTAAGGCGCTGGGAAGATAAATCTATGATCTGGGATTTATGAAGACTGTAAAATAATTCACTTCTGCTGGTTGTTAGAAGTCACTTCAACTGGGCAGAAGGGGGCAGCTAAAATTCCAATTCCCATCCCCCCATTGGCCCCCCAAAGTTCTGAATGTCCTTCCAAGCTATGCAGACCCACTCCCCAGCCCTCATTCAGAATCACTGGCCTAGCCCAACAGTGTGTTGTAGGAGGGGGGAAATGGTAGGATATGTTAGGAATGAACACACAAAGGAAGTATTTTCCAAATGATAATTTATAATTTCATTATCAAGATGTGCTTGTCAGTTTTAATAGTATGATGAAGGAAGACCTGCGGAAAGTTCACCATAATATGGGTGCTAGCACAAATGTCATCATGTAATGCTTGATAGGTACAAAGCAGCAATCCTTAATGGATGTTTAGTTCCATCCTACTTTTCTTGGTCACTACTCTGGTTGGATTCTAAGACTCCCTTCCTCCAGAGAGAAAGAGTTTGTCCATTCATTCATTCAAGAAAGACTTTTCTCCATCAGAATATGCTTCCCACATTAGCAAAAGCCATTCTCCAATAAAGAAAGTATTTCTTTGCGGAATAGTTACAGGAAACATCTTAGTGAAGTCACAGGATCCAAGGGATTCATAGGATCCAAGCCTATACACACAAATTTGCATCCATACAGCTACAGAATAGGTCACATAAAGTCTAGTCCAAATTAAATCAGATTTGTTTTCTGTTCTTCATCTATCAGACCAATGAACTGAACTACAATGTCTTAACTATAAACCTCACTAAAGAAATTTAAGTATGCCATAACTTAACTACCATCAAGACCTCTAATAGCAAACAATCCACCCAGCTATTTTATCATGATGTGCCATTACATCAGTTATTTTACCCTTTGTTTCCTCTGTTCAGCTTCCCGAAGAATGTCCTCCTTAAAAGGTGCTGCGTTAGGAATTCCTACATCTTTCTTGGGTTTTCTGTGTCCCCGTTTCTTTGCTTCCTTTCGGAGTTTTTTATTGTGCTCTCGTACCTGTAACAAATAATTGTTGTACATTGTTATGAAAGATTTTAATAGTCGTTACATACGTTCTCATTCAGCTCTCTTAATAATTGCATAAATGTTGCAGTAGTATCTGCATTATACTCTGGGTTCTAAAATGTCTTGTTACATTATATTTTGTATAAAAGAAAATGTATTACATTGCATTAAATTACTTGTTTCTAAGAAAACACTTTCTTGTATATAAGAAAACAGGACATTCGGTGTTTTAATATGTGGGGACAATAGCAGTGAGTGGAACAGGTACAGAACATTGCTGTAGTAAAATGCAGTTGGTGTTCACTCTCTCAGGAGAGTCTTGCCCATCTTTAACAAGTTTTTTGAGCTTGTCAACAGAAATAATTTAGAACACTGTTCAGGTTGTCACTAATCCAAAGGCTCTTGAAATTGCGAAGTCTTTCTCAACTTCATTCTGCTTTCTAGAACCCCCCCCCCCCCCGCAAAAAAAACCTTTAGGGATGAACAGTTTACCAACTAATAACAGCATGTATCAGACCACTCTAACCAGCAGAGTCTGAAGTGTTCTTCTGGCCTAAGGAGCCTTTTCCCAACAGAAAGCATCAACATTTGCTGTACAGTGGCATGACACATGCCTTCACTTATTATTTAAAACCAGAAGAAAAATTCACATCTCTAGCCACTAAGAAGTCACGTCTCCTAAAACGTTCCCCCCATCTCTAAGCACAAAATATTTCTCTCTCTCCAGAAATCCATTCCTTGTTTTATCGTTATCACAATTCCATCTTTAAAAAATCCCCTTCATCAAGTTGCATTTCTCATTTTAACCCTAATCACCACAAAATATCCACTTCCTTTATTCTTACTTTCCACCTCCCTTGTTGGACTCTCACCTCATCAGTCATCCTTCAAAAATAAAGATGAAGGGGGTAATGTAGGGCCTCAAATGGGGGTGGTAGTTGGAGAGGAGGCAGCAATTAAGCCACATCCCCAGGCAGAGGTATGTCCCAGTTGCACTGAAAGATGATATTACCATCACTTTCTTCCTGTGCTGGGTTCTCAAGTTCATTACCATCTGAAATTAGTGGGCGCATCAGCAACAGTGAATGGTTTTTCTCCATTTCAGCCCTAAACACGTACTGGGGAGGGGGGGGGGCCTGCAGGCACCTCCAAGGCACAAATTCTCTAAGCACTTCTCTCCACAGCTGCAAAACAAGATACTCACCTTTTTCTGGATTTTATAGCGTTTATGGCAGGTCATGCGTTTACTAGCTTTCTTCAACTCTGAAATAAAAGTACCAATGCTTAAACTGCAACATCAAAAACAAGAACAAAATGCAAAATGACACAACCCATTTTACAATACCACTGCAGAAAGCTCCCTTCCCTTATTTCCAATTAGCCCCTGGGAAATCCCCTACGGTACCTATAGCTTGGTAACAGAAGGAGAAGCAGAACCTATTATATCCCTCCTGCCTCCTAGTTGGAGAACCCATTTCAGTACTTGGCAAGGACTTTTCTAAACAGACCATTCAAAGAATAAAGCTGTCAGAAAAAGTGGTAAGGAGAGAAGATAGTGATTGCATGGGAAGATGTATGGGGCTAAAGAAGTACATAAGATATCATACATATATTTAGGATTGGAGCCATGTTCACTTGAAAGTGTGTCCCACTGAATCCATTGGGCTCGACTTCCCAAGAGCAGACAGAAGTGCAGCACTAGCTGTGCACTGAAGCAAGAGCAAAATAAAAATCCTTGGTTGATATCTGCCCTAAATCCTGGCCCAGTGACACTTCCCCCTTTACCATTTTGCTCCTCAGATCCATCCATAACTCCTCACTCTATCAGATAATAAGACAGAAAGACAAGTTATTCTCCAGGCGAAACCAGAACTGTCATGGCTCCAGGAAATGAGACTAACTCTGTATACTGCTCAATAGTATCTAGTTATTGTGGTCTAAATAGTACAACCTGTGCTATTACGGCCCCGGTCACACGACAAAGTTGCCATGGGAGAGGCACGGATGGTGGGCGGATTATCCGGGCGGGATCACACCCCAACATCTGGGAAGTGGAGCGCACCTGTGGCTTACTGCCGACCATGCGCCTTTAAAAACTAGTACCTCCAAGCCCGTGGTGTGATTGCTCCGGCTCCCTCGTTTACCCACCAGCGCTGAGGGAAGGACCCGTGGTGTGCCACCAGCGCGTCTGATCGCATAATCGCGGATCAAACTGTGCTGGGGCAATTAGCCCCCCCCCCGCGATATCCGGCCCATGTGATGGGGGCCTATATTAAGGAGCCATACACAAGAGGTCTGGAAATAATCCCTCCCCTTTACTTTCCAAGTTTTTCCATAGGTCCCCAAACTATTTGGTATGGTGGCCTACAAGTCCAAACTTACTTGGTATGAAAAAAACAAAACAGAGCATTCACAAATAATTAAAACTGCAAACGCCTTGGTCCCACTTTCACAGGCTTCGCAACCTACTTTGGGGGCAGGAGGTTGGGAAACACTTGTTCCACAAATAGTGGCTCACGTGTGAACAGTCCCACACACTGTTCTATACAAGGACTCTTATTTGCAGGGAGTTTTTAACCCAGGAGACCATGCCAAAATGTGATCATCAGTCAGCAGAGCGTTGCAGCACGAGCGGGGCTATTACGGAAGAGGAGAGAAGGGAATTACGGAGAGGAGGGAAGAGGCTTGGGGACGACAGGAAAAGGGCTGCCTAAGACGCCAGAAAACACAAAAAGATAACTCTGGGAGACAGAGAGAGAGAAACCGTGGCATTTAGAAGTAACAGTAGAGAGTACGGGACCATCTTTTTTTGTTATTTAAGATCTCTGCAGAATCTAGGCTCCAAACAGAACACACGCGTAGCACGTGCTTGGCCCACAGATCTCACAATCCAGCATTCCTCCACCCCACCCCCAAGCAGAGCGGCAGTGGTTAGTCTAGGGAGGGGCACTCAGCCCAGAAGCTTGCTGGGTGACCTTAGGCCAGTCACGTATGTCTCGCCTAACTCAAAGGGCTGTTTACTGCAATGATATAACGGAGGAAAGAACACTGCGTGCCGACCCGAGCTACTCGGAAAAATGGCGAGATACGTCCTTCTTTGGGCCTAAAAGGTCCCCTCCATTTCGTGCCCCATAAAAAGAGCAATCTCCCCCCCCCCATACACCCCAAAGAGGAAATCAGGCCACACCGATTCCCACAACCCTCCAGAGAATCAAGTAGCCGGTAAAGACACCTTCTGGGGGGAGGGAGTCCTGGCTACACAAGAGGCTGCGGGACTCCCCAAGCCACTTACTGTGCCCAGTCCAGGGGCCCCAAACATTACTTACTGGGTCGCTTCATGGCGGCCGCGCAAGAGCTTCCTCCTCTCCACGTGGAAGAAAGAAGCCTCGACACGAAGAGAAGCTCGGCCGTAAAGCATCCCGCGTCTCGCTCCCCTCCCCTTGGCCCGGGCTGTCGCGCGCCCGGCCTCACTTGGCGGCCAGGGCCAGGTTTGCGACAGCGGCGGGCTCGCTTCTGAGTGAGAGCAAGCGAGGCGAGCGGCAACAGTGGCGGCGACGCCGACAGCGCGGGGGGCAGTGGCGGCGGCGGGGGCTGAGCGCGGCCGCGGCTGCAGGAGGCGGAGGATCAGCAGCAGCAGCAGCGGGGCTGGCTGGGTAAGGTGAGGGGCCGGGCTTGGCTCGGCTGAGCGGGGGAAGCGGCGCTCAAGGGAAGGCAGGAGGCCGAGGCGGGTTCCCTTTGTGTGGCCGCGGAAACTACGGGCGGGGGTCCCTTCCCCAAAGCGCAGAACAGTTTGCCTTTCCTACCGGGGAAGCGGCTTGCCCTGTCCTCCTGTTTCACCGACCTCTTCTTCCCTTAGCCCAAAAGATTGGCCGTCCCATACCCTGAACTGCTTCTGACCTACTAACCCTCTTTCTCTGGGAGTTATACTTTTACAAACCTCCAATTTCTTTATGTACTGTTGCTTTTTCTCCCTCCCCTTTTCTCACTTGTGGCTTATTCATCTTTATTTTTGTGTAGCCTTTTCTGTCCCCTTTTTAAAAAGCGGTTTTGAAAACCTAACATTTCAAAACCATGGAACAACCTGCACCGTAAACTTCCTCGTGGTAGAATGTTTTTCACAGTGGTTCAGAACGGGGCAACTGCACTTGTCAAAAGCAATTAGCGTTTTTTTCCTTCTTCCTCTCTTGAGTTAAGCTTCGAAACAAAGATTCCCTAACTCAGTAATAAGAGTAATATTTGCACTGACATTTCTATTTTCCTTTAGTTCATATCTTTATTTTTTACTAAACAAAATGACAGAAAGACTATGCTTGTCCGAGAGAGTTATACCGGGTGTTTTGAAAGAGTGACAAACAAGATGAAATGAGGCAGGAATTATACTCATGGTATTTTAACAAATACATTTGTAGTTGTGTAAAGTGTTTTTGTGTTAATTTCTCACAATTTCTTTATTAAAATGTAGAAAATCTGTAAAATAAACAGATATTTAGGGGGAAATTCATTATTGATGTTTGGACTATTTTAAATTAATCATTTCTGTACATAAGTGTTAGCCTTCATTGTAAGGGCTTTTTGACAGTGAACCATAAAGCGTAACTGCTTGAAAACTGTATTAGATTATACATTTTGTATATAGACAAGCTGCAAAATTGTTATTTTTTTACAAAATTGAGCTTTTTGAGTTGTGTTACTGCTCTTCTTTGTAAAGGGTAGTAGAAAAGACCAAGAGTCCAGTAGCACCTTAAAGACTAACAAAATATGTGACAGGGTATATGAGCTTTCATGAAGTGAGCAGTGACTTGCGAGAGCTCATACCCTTCCACATATTTAGTTAGTCTTTTAAGGTGCTACTGGACTCTTGCTCTTTTCTACTGCTACAGACAAACTAACACGGCTACCCATCTTGATCTATCTCCTTGGAAAGGGTAAATCTTGTTCCTGTGAAACTATAAATTGTCAGTAGTAGGACTGCTGATCACCTTTCTTCATGATAATGTACATTATTGTTGCTCTATAAAAATAAAAAGTGATAGTCCTCTGTCAAATTTGTGGTTTAACCAAGCAACAGTTTTCTGTAGTACGGAATTATCTCCATTAATCCTAATAAAGACAGAAATACAAGTTATTCCTTCAGAGATTAAAAATAAAGTCAGTGTTTGTAGTAAAAATCTGTTCAAAGAGCAATTTTATTCAAAAAAACCTTGTCACCATTTTGTTTGTAGGAGTACTAGGATAGTTATTTTTCAGTTAATAGAAAATGTACGTGATCAACAGCAACTGATTTATGGAGACGGCAGGTACTATGTCTCATTGTGAGGGGGGAGAGTGTTATACCTTCTCATGTCCTCTCCAAAATACCAAGGACTATGTATAAATATGAATGATATCTGACTTTTGCTGTTCATATGAATGTTGACTACTGACTTTCCATTCTGCAAGCATACCTCAGATCTACTTAATTACTTAATGTTAACAAAGAATATTTCCCATGATGTCAAGAAGTCAATTACTGTTTTATTTATCTAGAAATATATTAGCTGGTTTACTAATTAATGTATCCAAAGTGATGAACAGTAGAAACATTAAAATCCTGAAACAATAAAACCGTAACTTTATTTAAATAAAATCAGTTTCACAGCCAACCAACATCCTAGAAAGATTATTGGGACAAAAGCTGCTACTCATTACCTGGAAGTCTGTCACAGAGATTAGTTGCCTATCTTACTCTTTTCCCTCTTAAGATCTTATCTCTTTAAATGAAAGTACACAAAACAGAGCTTGGTGTGAGGGAGCTGAGCAGGCCCAGAATGTTTAGTAATGTAAAAGTAAAGCCCAGTATCTTAATTATCATATGGCAGGAGATCCAAAGTTTGTCTGGCAGCCTGAAACTCTAGCTCCTTTTATGGCGAGCTAGGTTGATACTTTGGGCTGAGAAGACTGTGACTGACCCAAGGTCACCCAGCTGGCTTCATGTAAAGGAGTGGAGAATTGAACCCTGTTCTCCAGATTAGAGTCCTCCGCTCTGAACCACTACACCAAACTGGCTCTCCCAGTACCTTAAACTGAGCCCGGAAGCTGGTCTAGTTGGGCTAGGACTAGGATATTTTTGTTCCTGCCACTTCTAGTTAGGTCACTGTATTCTAGACAAATACAAGCCACGTGTGTAAAGCAATCCAGTCAACTTTACCAGTGCGATTGGGTGCTGACAGGGAGATTACCAGGAAAAGGTCACAGTTGTCTCATTCAGAATTGGTGCTAAAATGTACTCCTACCTCCTGCTGCCATTTGGTAAGTTCTGGAGCAAGATCCAGGAGCATCTTCACACTGCACATAGATCTCCAGGGGACTGTGTGTTCCAGTTTAGGCCAAGTAAATTCACCATTCTCAGATCGTGTAAACCGTATGTCATTACCAGCTCTGCATTTGTTTGCATTCACTTTCAAAGTATTTGTTCTTTATGCCATTTACAGCAGCATAGAATAGTTTTTGTTGTTGCTGAGGGAAGCCATTGCCATTCCTGGCTCAGATGCAGAAGAAAAGCAGAAGTGTTGTTAGCAAATTGGTGTCTCCTTATTTCATGACTCTAAAAGGTGTTCCTCTCAAGGTCTGCTTAGTGATAGGTATAAACCTATGTGAGAAGACAAGACTAGGAAAAGTTGAAGGCCATAGGAAAAGAAGACCCCAGATGAGATGGATTAACTCGATAAAGTAAGCCATGGCCTTCAGTTTGCAAGACTGAGCAAGGCTGTTAATGATAGGACCTTTTGGAGGTCATTCATTCGTAGGGTCACAATAAGTTGGAGGTTACTTGACAGCACATAGCACACAAATATGTATGTTTGTTTAGTTAACTTGCAGGGTTTTCTTTTCAACATACACAATTACGTTATAACTTTCATTTTAAACGCCATAAATCTTTGTTTCTCGTTGATCTGGACAATTACTAGACTTTGCTATTCTTTAGAACTTTGAATTCCTACTGCTTTACTTTGCACACCCATCAGTAGTATCTTTGTAATGAAATGTTTCAGCTACTCTCTGTGCTTGTGCTAAACAGGCAGTGAATTCCATAGTATTATGATGGTTCTTGGAATTATGTGAATGTTATGGCTGTAGTCCTCCTGCTCCATTAAAATTAATAGGAGTTTTGCCATTGACTTTAGTAGTAGTAGGATCTGCACCCTTTGTTTAGATAATTTTAAGAATGTTCATATTGTTCTGAATCTTGTTCTTGCTTCCCCTGTGTTTTATGGTAAGGTCTTTCCAAAACCATTCTTCTTGATTTACCTGCTCTTCTCTTTGTTTCCTTTCCCCCCCTTTCATTTGTTGTCTTCTCTTTCAGTTTTGGCTGTACTAATACGGCTGCTGAATTGGTGCATTACGGATTCGCCTTTTCCCAGTTTCTTTACTTGCCTAACAGACATTATGAGGAGATTGGCTTTTCGTGGTGCTGGTTGTACTCTGGTAAATCTGGTAATTTACTGATAATGTGTGTACTGTTTTGTCCCTCTCTTCCATGCATTTCAGCCTTTTTCACACGACAAATCATTCTTGTTCACCTACTTCACTCTTGACTGAGTAGTTAATCCTGTTTTCTCGGTATGAAATACAAACTTTCTAACTCACTGATGTCAGACTAAGGATAACTTTTAAAACTTCAGTGTGAACAAGTTAATTGAAATGTCACTGAAGGATTGGATGTGCAGTTTATTTAGCGACTGAACATGCCTTATTGGAATCTGGTTAAATTGCCATGTAGTGAATAGTGAATTTTTTTCATGTCTACCTTGAAACTCTAACTAAGAAATATCTTGATTAGGGAAAAATAGTGCTCTATTTGTCTCTAAGAAATATCTTGAGAGCTTCTTCATATGTTGCTTGCAGTGGAAAAAATGCAGTGTTTCAATTTTTAAACTGTGTACCTTTTGGAAGTTCCCATCTGCTACACTTTCATGTGGCATGTTCCCATATGGGAATAATGAATTATTCCCTGATAAGAGAGTTATACTTATTCTGTTGAAATCAAGTTACTTTTAATTTTAATTAACTTAAGCTCCATTGATTTCAAAGTTACAGTACAGTTTACTTTCCTTGAATCTAATATGGGATGTAGATTTAGACACAGGTTATGTATTACGTGACCATAGGGTATTATTACCCAAAGTGGCATCTCCGTAGCCAGTTCTTTTCCTTCCTGCTGTAATACCTAGTCGTTCTTTCTTGTTGTTCAGTCGCACAGGCCATGGACCAGATCAGTTCTTATCATGTAACAACTAAAATTAATTAATTAATATGTAGTGAATTTCTCCATCCACATAATTAGCGGTCACTGATAGGCCACAGAAAGGTGACAATGCTAAATTGTGTGGTCAGTGCAATTAGTGCATATTACTGAAGCGATGGAACACAGCTGTAGAAACATCATTTTGGCTGATGTGATGTATAATCCAGCTCTCTGTCTTTCTCCTAATTGGGGTAACCAATATCTCAAACATTTCTTATCTCTTCTGCTCAGAGTATTAGATTAGAAAGCAGATGGTTTCTAAGCA